ATTTGTGGACAGTCATATAACCTTTTGTTGCGACGCTGATCTCGAACCTACTGTACTATTTTACAGAATGGCTTTTTGAATGGAGTTACTAGGGCTCATTCGACGCGTCCCCCACAACGCGATTCGCAGCATTGCTGAGCAGATTTTTCGCTTTCCACAGGAACATGGTCGCTAATAGGGTACTGCATCGTGGTGTGTAAAATAGCGGTGTCACTGCCCCTCTCCACACCCCCTTATAGAAGGAGAACCCCGAGCGACCCTCTTCGTCACGTGTTTGTGATCTAACGAAAAGGGTCAGATTCGTAACGGCCTACAAGGCGCTACGGCCGAAATGCGATTTCATTTCGAAGTAGCGCTGGAGCAGACTTGCTGACAGGGTAGAAATAGCAGTACTGGAAGTAGTAACTTTGCAAATGCGGAGCTTCTGGGAAACGGAAGACGGTGTTTTAAAGCTATGGTTTTACTTTTGTGTATTCTTAATATCCACTGTGAATCTTACGTTGCTTGAGAGATATTCCGACCCTGCGCTTATCCCCACTCTCTTCTGAACGGCCAGGTACGACCCCTCGATGATTCGTACAAAGATGTTGTACCCTGGTTGTGAAGGTCTCAACAGCGGTACTATATTAAGCCTCGACTATTTATACAAACAGAGGAGCTTGTAAACGGATCCAACCCCATGTTTGCGCGCCTTTTCCCGCCTGAGGCCGCGTTCATAGCTTGCGTTCGTGAAGAAATGCGGAAAGTGCAGAAGTGCGGAATCTGCAGAAAAGCAATAGATACTTATCGACTTGAAGAAATGCAGAAATGCCGAAACTGCAGAAGTGCGGAAAGTGCAGAAATGACGAAAAGCATTACATACGTATCGATTTGAAGAAATGCAGAAATGCCGAAAGTGAAGAAATGCGGAATCTGCAGAAATGCCGAAAGTGAAGAAGTGCGGAATCTGCAAAAAATGCTGCAAGTGAAGGAGCTGCGATTGGGCAGAAATGCGAAAGTGTTGGAAAATCAGATACGTATCGTTTTCTTTTCTGCACATTCCGCACTTTCGGCATTTCTGCAGATTCCGCACTTCTTCACTTTCCGCGTTTCTGCAGATTCCGCACGTCTGCAGTTTCGGCATTTCTGCATTTCTTCAAGTCGATACGTATCTATTGCTTTTCTGCAGATTCCGCACTTCTGCACTTTCCGCACTTCTGCATTTTCCGCATTTCTGCATTTCTTCACGAACGCAAGCTATGAACGCGGCCTGAGAAAGCTTGGCAGGTCACAAGCGCTTGAGCCACAGGGCTGTGGTACTCTTGTTCACAGGTCAGAGTATCCTTAGTGGCGAATTTGCAAAGATTTCTAAGGTTTCAGCGCAACTTTGAAAAAAGTAGGTTTAGGAGGAATAGCTGTCGTCTGTGTTTCCTACTATGACCAACTAGCCTATGACTAGCCTATGACCAACAGCTGTTCTTGGAACTGAGTTAAAGACAAATCGTACACTTCAACTCAAAATATTTTCTTTGCACTGGAACGATGGGGCTTGCCAGCTACCCTATTTGTCAGCTGTTTTCGGCACTTGAGATTGCGCCGGAAAGGAGCTGAGGGGTGGTGACACTGGGTGCCGTCTGGGGCTCCATGGGCTTGTCTGCGTCTCATGATTCAGCACTTGATTCAGTCGATACCAGCTACAACAAATCATACATTCAGCGGTAGAGAGCTTCCAGAAATGAGAGGGCGTAGACAAGTGGCGCGTCCGGCTATGGTTCAGCGTGGGGTTGGCAAAGCGACGGCGCTATGCTCACACTCACCTGCTTAGTTCCAGTTTCCTACAAGAGGCGTTCACAACAAATATTAGGTTGGCGGGAAAGTTCTGTCACATTTTCTCAAACTAGGCTTTCTTTTTATAGAGAGGCGTACAAGATCAAAATTATACAGCAATGTCATTGCGGAATCCCTGCCAGTTTTCGAGCACTTCGTGGATGCCATCGCTTCACAATGGAGGCTGGCACGACGCAATGTTGGACATCATCTCAATGTTGACTTGGGCTCGAGTCGTGGAGGTTTTCTCGGCCATATAACGGTTATGTCCGAGAGGTAACTAGCAGTTAGAATGAGCAATGTCTGGGTACACCGGCAGGGGGAGAGCCATTCGCAGCTTTTTGCCAGACAGTACGGCTCGAACTTTTTTGACGGGGTGTGCTGCACCAGCACGTTGAAGACGGACTGTGCCGATGGATTTTGCCCTCTGCTTGACGATTCGCTTCAGATCTCGTAGCTGCCTTGCGTACGGATTGACCGAGGAGGCAGCTTCTTCGTCCAGCAGTTTACCAACCCACAGCTCCCTCAGGCTAAGTTCACAGGTATACCCAAACCTCACTTCGTCATTCAAACTGTAGGCTGCGGCTCTGAAGCTTTAGCGTCGTGGAAGATTGTCCAATAATCGTAGACATCGTCCTTATGCAGCTCCATTATTTCGGCATCAACAGCTGTCATGCTGGCGCCAGGGCGGTAGAAGAAAGAGTTTTCAATGGAAGCGTCTTGGAAGGCAGCGTGCCAAAGGTAGGGATAACATTCTTGTTTTGCACAATAAGGAGGAGCAGGAGTCAAGCGAGTGATACCAATAGAAAGACCATTCCTTGATGTGTAAATGCTCACATTACCGGTTAACGCTGTTCAGGTAATTAGCAAATATTTTGGGTTCAAAAATATATGACAGAACTTTCCCGCCAACCTAGTAACAGTGTAATATTTTTAATGAGAGATTTTCACACGGTCATTTGTGGTTTCTGTGGACCCTCTAGTTCGAAGTGCGCATGCGACAACCAGTGGTAGAAAACGAGTAATACGAACGATATGATACAGTCTTATCACTTTTTTGCTCGCTTTACCAACTGGTTTAGAAAGGGTTTGGCAAACTCGTCCCGCCTGACACGCCCAACCGTCTGCAGAGAACTACACATTATCGTCTTGGGTCAATAAGGCTTAAAAGTGGTTTTGATGGGTTGTCTTAGGTTAAAATCTCAAAGTGTGGGCTCACTGCTAAGTTCAGCCTCACGTGCAAGTGTTGTGACGATGATGGTCTCAAGTGACACTTTGTCAACAAGAAGTTCAAATCCGCAATTTTGACAGGAATTGTGTTACGCTCATCAAGGAACGGCTGAGCAGTGATGAAGTATTAACCCTGACACTACATAGAAGTGGCATAGTAACAAGGTCAGTACACATCCCAATGACAGCGAATATATTAGGTTGGCGGGAAAGTTCTATCACTTTTTTGAACTCAAAATATTTGTCCATTACTTGAAGAGGGGTGAACGGTAAGGTGAGAACTTATACATCAAAGAGTGGTCTTTCTATTAGTACCACTCGCTTGATTCCTGCTTCTTCTTCTTCTGCAATATGGACAAGAATGTTATCCGCTACCATCGCCACCGACCCCTCCAAATGCTTCTGATAGTGCAGCGCACTTCCAAAAAAGTTCTAGCCGTTCCTCATGCAATAGAGCTGGATGGCTCTCCCCTTGCAGTGGTGTAGCACAGACATTGCTCCTTCTAACTGCGAGTTGCCTCCCGTAATCAATCATTACTGGACGAGAAAACCTCGAAAAGTCTGAGTTCAAGCCAAGATTGAGATGATGTCCAACTTTGTATCGCGCCTCCCTGCATTGTGAAGCGATGGCATCCATGAGGTGCTCAAAAACAGGCAAGGACCCCGCAGTAACATTGCTGTACAATTTTGATCTTACACGCCTCTCTATAAAAAGAAAGCCCAATTTGAAAAAAGTGACAGAACTTTCCCGCCAACCTAATACCAGCGAATCCAACCATGTGACGACAAACCTGCAAACTTAGCTCCCTAATCGCTCAGACCTGCGAGTACTGATGCTTTCTTCCAGGGACGTACTAACGTTGGGGAAGTTTTTGCTAAACACGATCTCTCTGTGGATTCGAGATCAGCATTTGAAGACACTTCAGAGAGTACATTACTTACAGATGGCTACTTCGGCCTGAGATTCCTCTCTTGTCAGTGAACTCAAGTTTTTTGTAGGGTTTTTAATTTCAACAAGGCTGCAATCGAAACACTAGGAATGCCTACTGTAGCGTCTCCAAGTCTCAGAATAACACCATCAAAAAAATGGTAGGCTGCAGTAAAGTTTTGTCTGAAAATGCTATGGAAACATGCACCTTCTGGCTTTACTTCTAGGATACCATGGGATTGCACTGTTTGCTCTTTTCAAAGTCATAGTGTGTATGCTATGCAAAGGCATATGATTGAACACACTGACGATGTTCTTCTTAGATATCATGTAAGCAAGCCTGTTTCAGTTTACATTATTCATTAACCACGTCGAAGACTTCTTTTTCATCGATTCATGCGGTATTTTCAGCCGAAAAGCCCACGAGGGCTTCTGTGTCCGTTTTGTAGGAAGTGCACTTATGGCTACAAGACCATGAGTGGTTTAAGAAGGCATTTGATAACCCCGCCTATTCAACATTGTCAGCTAAAGTAAGCTATTTCTTGCTATTAAGATCAGATATCCATTTTTGTTGCACAATCTTAGTTCTTGGCTATTTTAGACGTATTTTTGAAATTGCTCGTAGCAACTGTCGCTCTTCTCTTCTGGATCCAGTGACGAAGTGGTCATCTTGGACGGATCGAAATGTCTATCTTGCTTATCATGGCTGTGAACCGCCACCACGCACTCCTCGAAAAAGACCAGACAGTAAGCCGTCAGCAGAAGATCCGTCAGAGCATTCCAATACCCCATCCCCAGGAGTTCTTCATAATTCATCCAGCACGAATAATGCAGTGCAGCCTTCACAATCAGCGTCATGTTCCGATGTAACTACGCTAAGCACGGTTAGCCATCTTTCCCATTGTCAGCCTAAATATCAAAAGAAATTTTACTTTTTAGACACCAAAATCTGTAGAATCAGAGACACCGCGAATTACACCAGCCAGCAGTGCAAGCGTCTTCATCACTCCACCAGGAAATGATTCGCGGTCGCTTCCGGCTCGACCTCATCACGACAGTAGAAAAACGACACACCAGAATCCACGTCGTCCGCTCATATTTCCTTCCCCAGTTAAGCGCGATTCTGCGGGGAACGTAAAACCGTCGAAGACCTTGTTACGCCCGGTAAATTTTTTAAGTTTTTCTTGTATTTTTTCTCAGATTTAAGTTATTGGAACTTACCTGTTTATTCCCGCCTTCTGGTCCTCATTTCATTACTTATCTGCTGACAGATCCATATTTCAGGTCTTGCAACTTCGAAAGCCCCTTCTACCAGAAGACGTAACTCAGAAGGGTTCCAGTGGAACTAATGCAGAGGCACAGAGTCAAAATGTAGAACAAAATAACACCAGTGATGAGAAATGCCGGTCCGTAGCTAAAATTATTTTGAAAGGTAAGGTTGATTTCAATGTATTGATTTGCGTAATTTTCAAGGCATCAAGATATTGGGTACTTCCATTTGTAGAACTCAATGGTTCAGTTCGGCGACTGAAGAGGGGCAGTTTGCGCTTTAGCTACTTCCTGTAGACGTGTCGCCCCATCTAGAGAGTCATTATGTGAGCTTACAAGAGTTGACAGTTTTACCATAGGGCTCGACGAGCTTGCTGCACGTTTACAAGCGTTCACAGGTTTAACTAGAGTCAGACTAAATCGGAACTAGTGAACCAGCGAAAGTGCAAAGTCCTCCTCCCCCCTCGTCGCCGAACTGCGCCAAACTCACCGTACTGTCCTCCATTTTAACCGCTGAATTGTCGCAAGTGGTACACACAAAGGAAAATATCTGTTTTTTTTTCTTCAGATATCCTTTGCAGCTTCTATTTTATATGTGTATTACGATAGTGTACCCTAGCAAAGCAAAAAACTGGAATGACAGCATCATCAGATGAAAAAAATAAGCTGGTCTTTGGCTAGTAGGGATACTCAAACTTCTCTTTGCACCATATATTTTTGCACCAACTGTTGAGTTGCAGTCGTTGATTCTTACGATAGAGATATTCTTTTTTTTTCTGATCCTTACAGGTGAATGTGCAGTAGGTGTAAGCTCCAAAATGGGTGTCATATTCATTCACTACTAGCCTCTAAATATATTTGGATCGCTTACCTTGAATCGTCAATACTGTTCTAGGAAGACCCTACATTTGAAGGCTTAAGGACATTTTTTTTCTCTATTGCAATTGCAGGTACTTTTTGATCACGATGAATCTTTCAAAAAAAATAATAATAAAACAAAAATGTAGTCCCACGCGTTACTCGTAAAGGTATGGCTCCTCAATGTGCTGAAGGAAGCTCCTGAGCCTTTTCGCGAAGTTGTGATGTTTTGTGGCAAGAGGCCGCAACAAAACCCTTGTTAGTGCATTGCGTTTCTCCTATTGGTACACACAGCTTTGGGTTTTTTTTTCTAATGTGAAGATCACAAGGTGATGATCCATGGAAAATTGAAGAAAGTTTGGAATTGGAATTGGAAGAAAGTTTTCTAGTCCTGCCCATCTTTCTTTTTTGTTTAAATAATATGAAACTTCAGCCACGTCAACGCCTCACCACACTCTTGTTGATGCTCTCAACTTGATTTCCGCTGATGGAGATGAAGGAAATTCTTTGATAGCTGATCCTGCCCTTGCCAAGGTAACGTTTCTCATCATGTCTTCACAGAATTTTTGGGTTACTAAAAATGAAAAATGTAGTGAAGCTACTACGCCGAGTACTCTGCATTGTTTCGAATGGCTTGTATTAGTGTTTTTCCTAGAATAAGCATTAGTGAATCAATTTCATGCGTGTCATGAGTGACATACCTGCGCGAAAGGGGTTGAGATATGAGAAAAAGTCTGGCGTTCTGTCTGTTTTTTTTTGTTATAAATGAATTATGTGAAAATCAGGAAAATGAAATGTTATCAGCTGTCATTTAAATGTGCTTTCAGCCGCTATTTTCGAGTGGTGATGTTGCTCAGGAGCTCGGCAACGTTTCTGTTCCAATCCTACCCGGACCTCGTTCGAGCAAAACTCGCAGGCAGCTTGAATCTGTAGAAGCCAGGTAATTGTTGCTTTATCGATTTAGTTGTTAAGCTTTGTTTCGCAAGTTTCGCACGATCAGTCTAAACACATATTATCGCTGCCACGTTTTTACTATATCGTTTGAAAGTGTTTTTTAGAATCCGTATTTTTGGTGATTGTTCTCGTGTCGAAGTGCCGTCAGGTTACACAGCAGTTGAAACGCATAGTGGTGTCCGCCTTGTAAGTTTATTGCTTCGTTTGGAAAGTTTCAAAGCACTGCTCAAATTTGACGTTCTGTGAATCGCGGCGTATCCGAATCTTCTTCTTCCTCCCGTTTGTCCCGCTCTGTCCGCTCTTCTTATTATCTTACGCCACTTCTCCCGATTGGATGCCTGGTCGGGATGGGTGCCAAATATCTTCAAGACCGCATGCAACGTGTCTAGTCAGCGCTGTCTGAGGCGCCCTTGGGTCGTTTCCCCTCCCTCCCCCCCCTGGAAAAACGTCTTTCAGTACCTTATGTTTAGGTGGAAGGAAGTGCTGCTCTTCACGACGCATCAAGCTTAATCTGTCTACCTCGTGGGCGGTTTGTTCCTGTTTCCCGCCAGTGATCGTCTAACTAATTGTGATAATTAATACGTGATTTTTTTGCTCGTTCTTAAAATATGGTTGTAATCTTGTTCAGTGTTGAAAATGACTAGGTATTGATGGTTTGTCATGAACTAACGTGAGCTCAAAGTTTATTTTTATATTTCGCAGCCTAGTGTCGTAGTGAATCTAGTTACTTAATTGGAGTCTGTTTACTGTTTTGGGAGTTACTCGCTTCATGTTGGTACATTTTTGTTAATAGTTTAATCCTTGTACGTTCATTGAGTTAGTTTTATGACTAGGATTGATTACACAATGCATTGTAATTCACGACCGTTTTTATCGAAACGTATCTCGAATTTGTATGTTGAATCCAGCTTTTCATGTTTTTGATGAGATTATACCTACCATTTCACTTTCAAGCTTTTAATAAAATGGTAACAATCACACTACCTTCTTTCTTGCTGAAGCTTCTTGCCTCCATGTTGAAGTCATTTAGTATCGAAATGCATTCTACCTATTCGTCTTATTATTTTTTTTAACTATTTGTTGTCCCAAGTTTCAGATGTCTCTTGCACCAGACATAAAGGATCTATTTTTTCTGGATCGAGTTCCAAGCATATACACGAAAGCACTTCTGTTAGCGTACCTACCCATAGGTTAGTATCAAAGAATCCCTGAGCTCCTAACACTTCATAGTGGACTGAAGTCGATTTTCTTTTTCTGACAGGATGTGCAGTGTTCTTGATCCGTTTGTTCATCGGTGTGCACGCGTTCTTCGTCGCCTGCTTGCTGAGGAAATCAACGATTGCTCGATCTATAGTGCTTCGGGTCATGTGCGCTGTGCTTGGTATTGTGGTTCGAAGCGACGGAAAGAGGTAAAACTACTATCTTCTCGTTATTGTTTGATAACTGCTGTTTAACGCCGCAGTGCGCGATCCGAAAGCTATCACAAGAATGCTGAGTTATGGGCAAAAGTCGGACCACGGACGGGATTCGAACCCGCATCTTCTGCTTTCCGTGCAGCTGCGTTCCCTATTACGCTACCGGGGCCACTTTTGACCACTCAGCTCAATGGCTATTTGTGCCATTGCCTTCGAGCACTCACACGTTCAACGTGATGAGCTTGAAACTTGTAAAAGCCTTCAGCCTTGCGGTTCACTGCCGATATCGGCTAACCGGCTCATCACGTTGAACGTGAGTGCTCGAAGGCAATGGCACAAATAGCCATTGAGCTGAGTGGTCAAAAGTGGCCCCGGTAGCGTAATAGGGAACGCAGCTGCACGGAAAGCAGAAGATGCGGGTTCGAATCCCGTCCGTGGTCCGACTTTTGCCCATAACTCAGCATTCTTGTGATAGCTTTAGTATCTTCTCGTTTTTGTTCACGCAACAATTCAGAATGAAGGAATCGGTATGCTAATAACCCGAACTGAATCCCTCCAGTTGCGCGGTTTACTGCCCTTGTCTGCGCTCTAATGGTTTTCCTAAGGTAACTGCGACCTTACTCATTCTATCTTCAACCTTTTATGGATACGGTATCCTTACCTTACCATAATTGTCTTCCCCTTGGAAAAGGGGAAGACACTTATCTCCTGACTCGCCTCTTCTATATGTCTGCGCTACGTAACACGGCCATGCATGCACCATTTTCATCATGTTTCCGGAACTAAATTTTGTTCACTGATGGCCTTCTCCAGAGAGGTTTACAACAGAAGCGTGTGCCTATTTTTACTGTGTGAACTTACTCGACTTACTGTATCTTAATGGCAACAAGGCGACATAGTAACTCATAGTACTCTACCATGTTTAACTATCATTTTAGTCACAGATGATATCCATTGCGTGGGCCAGCCCATATACACGTCAGTGTCTTTATTCTCCCAGTCGGATCTGGTTCCATTTATCGCCTTGGAAAATAGAAGGCTTGTTTGACTTATGCGGGAGCCGATCCGGGATTTGGTTCCAGGACCGTGCGCGTGGTAAGCGGGACGCCTAGCATTTCCGCCTTCACCTCTACTTTGATTGGGACATGATATGGAACAATCATTCCTTGCTGACAAGCTTTTCGTTCTCTCCTGTTATGGAAACTGCTGATTCCCATCCATTTAGCAGATCTGATAAGGGGGAAATCAAAATTACCTTGGTAATTTGCAAATATCTAATTTTTGGCTGCAGCTTTTTTCCGTCTCAGGTATGAAAAGCTGTTTCAGTGCCGATCTTGATATATTAAGTTGTATGTTTTTTGATAGCTCTTATCACTTCCTTTAAATCGTTGTACAGATCTTCAAAAGTGAACATTATTTGTGCAAACCATGTGAGCGCCTTGGACCACCTTGCCGTGGATCTTGTTGAGTCATGTGTTCTGCCATCAGTGTGGGACATTCCGTCAATAATCAGATGGTATGATTCTTACTGCTTTGTTATTAGAAAGTGAAGGAACAACAATAATTTTTTTTCTCCAGGTGTTTTGGTTACGTTGATCTGGGAGCGCGGAGCGGACGTGATGAACTTGTGCGGCGCGCCAGATTACATGTTGAGAACGAAAATCTCCCACTGCTATCTTTCCCCGAAGGTGCTATAACCAGCGGTCATAAAGGCCTGCTAAAATTCAAGTACGTATTGATTTAATTTGTGAACGGAATTAGATCTGTTTGCAAGTGATTCTTCATGCTTGGGCTTGGAGGCAATGCTCGCGATGGAGCTTATTTTTGACTCGTTTCACTAAAATGATCACTGCTTGTCGTCACAGTTCCCAGGCAATTGTCACTTCAAATGCAAATGTCATTTTCGGGTTGTGGGTAAATGCCAAATTCGAGTTAGGTGCCAGAGGCAAATCTTTGCCCATCACTCAGCATCCTCACAAAACTACTGGTCAAGTGTAAAATGAAACATGTTGAAATGAAAAAAAAATGCTCTAAACATCCTGCTGTCCCGGAGCCTTATAAATATCTGAATATTGTAAAAAAAAAGCCAAAAAGTATTTGTTATGTGTCTGAATATTTCGGTATCAGTGCCTTCCTCAGGGACCTGGTGACCAGAATCTGCTGGCCGCCTCATGACAGGAACAAAGTTCATTGAGTGTCTGGTGCATGTTCGTGTTGTTTACAACAACCTAAAATATTTGTCAACCTAGGATTTATGAGTCGTTAAATTGAAAGGTGGGAGGCGATCCTTGTGAGCAGTGTATGACCCATCAAACCTGAAACCCGTGTTCGAGTCCCAACTGGGATTCATTTTTTGCTCGCCAATATTCTAGGATCCTTTTGATAAAGGTTTCTGTAACGTACCTTCGTGAACTGCGCGTTAAAAATATTCTAGAAATTTTTTCCCTTGTTTTCCTTAGGTTGTCAGCGGGTTATATTGGCGACATTCAG